TGTATGAATGCTTTGTCTGCATGTATGCCTCTGTAACACATGTATTCTTGGTCCCCAAGGAGGCAGAAGAGGGCGCTGGATTCTCTGGGAGTTTTAGATGGTTGTGGGGTGCCACGTGGGTTCTGGGCATCAAGCCTGGGTCTCCTCTGGAGGACCCGCAAGAGCTCTTAACTGCGGAGCCATCTCTGCAGCCTCCTCAATGGCTTTTATGTATACAGTGTTCTGTCTGCATGTATGCGTGCACACCAGAAGAGGGCACCAGATCTCATTACAGATGGTTGTGAGTCACCATGTGGGTGCTGGGAACTGAACTCAAGATCTCTGGAAGAGCAGCCAGTGCTCTTAACCCCTGAGCCATCTCTCCAGTGCCTCAATGGATTTTAAAACCCAATGTGGAGGCTTGAGCCCCTCAGCATTTCACAGGCCAGCTGAGTTCCCTTTCTACTGCCCAGAGTAGAAACCCTGGGCTATGGGGCCCTGAGACAGTGCTGCTAGCTGAAGGGAGAAGAAAGAAGGCAGGGCACGAGGGGTTGGAGAAGGTGGCTCCAAGAAACAGGAAGCATGTGAGGGTTGTCTCCTCCTGGAAATCTATGCAGACCAGAAAGAAAGAGGCAGAGAGTCACTTTCTCATATATTGTGGGCATTTTATCCCTCATTCACAACAATGTTTGTAATAAACAAATATGATACCTATGCATTTTGCCTAGAAAGTTCCACCAAGCAGGCGTGCCACACTGCCTGGGTGACCTTCCACGTGCTGCGGACAGGGAGAGCTTTGCATAGCAGTCAACACAGCCGGGCAGTAGATCCTAGGAAGCATAAGTCAGCTCCCAGACCTGGACGTCTTCCTAGAGCATGGACTGCTGTCCTTACCACAGAAAGCTTGTGAAGAGCAAACTTGTAAAAAGAAGTGTACAAAAGGACACATCCATATAACACAGTTGCACCCTGTAGACAAAGCATCCCTTTGAGATTGCCCACGGTCAGAGACGGCAATGGGAAAGAGGAAAAGAAGCTCGATGTCCGCCCACCCTCACAGCACGCGATCAGAAGAGTTCGTGGTTTGCGTGGCTCCAGAAAGAGCCAGTCCTGTAGTTAGAGGACTCGCTGGTACAGACGCGGGGAGGGGCAGGCCTTGAGGCAAGTCCCGTTTGATTGTCACAATGTTGCTACTCTGAGACAATAAATACAAGCAGAGCAGTGCAGCTCTTCTTTGAATCAAGTAACTCCAGTTTAATAGAATACAATGTAGTGCATTTCCGGGCCTCATTCACAGTCGGCCTCTCTCCCAACACCTTTGCAACAGAAGGAACCCAAAAAGCTAGGGAGAAAAGAAAACTCCAGGAGACCTGTCAGAACAGAGTTCACAGTTTCGCAGGTCTGTGAAGAGATGATACCACCGTCTCCAGTGGCTGCTCTCAGTGGTTTACTTCTGGAGTGGTTTGTAAGAATGCTACCGTTCCCCTGAATCAACTGATTTCAAATGCCTGTAATAAACTCCGATCCATATGTCCACCCTATCAGCCAAGCTGCTAACCCAAAGCCTGAACTTGCATTTTCAAATTCTGGCCCCTGTAGGCAGGGGTCTGGGGGCCTGAGTGTCAGCACCCAATGGACAGCCCCGTGGCAAGACTCTGGGACAAGGCCTAAGGCAGGGCAGGGATACCCTCACCCAGGCCCAGGTGCCTTTGGTGTGGGGCTGGCCTATAGGCCAAAGATGTGTATAGAGAGAAGGCAGGAGGCATCTCAGGTGCGCCATTCTAACCCTGAGCCTCATGACACTGCAGAGGGCTAGAAGCCACACCAAACGGCTAGCACTAAGTGTCACATGCATCTAGCTAGTGGTGGGGTCTGTGTGTGGGACAAACAGCTGAGGTGCAAGTCATCAGGGCTAGAAAGGCTACTTTTGGCTTGTCCTATAAGGTCTCAGGCAGAGACAGGGCAACATGCAGGAAGAACCACTTACTCCATCCTGAACCTGATACAAAGTAGTCCTGGTGGGCATGGATGGTCTCCTGACGTCTCTTGCACTGCATATGAATGTAACCCACTGCAGGGTCTAACCCTGACTTTTCCTGATGGCATAAAGGCAGGACTTGAGAAGAGACAGAAAAGATTCTCAGGGCAAGGTGCACAAAAAGGGGGGGAGGGGAGTCAAGGCATCGTGGAGACACCTTTCTACAAGAAAGAGTTGTTACATTGTTGTGGTATGTTATCTAGCAGCCTGCATAGTCAGAGCTCATCAGACCGTTTGCGAGGACAGGGCCTTACAGCATTGCAAATGTGACTCATGGATACAGTCACCAAATACCCACAGATAGCAAGTGGTTTCTTTCTCTGGGTTAAAGGTCTCATCAAGAGGAGTGCCCCTGATCTCTGAACTGCCCACATGCTGACCATTCAGCCTCCCTAGCTTATTGTCCCTGCTTCTTGCAGGACGGCCACCAATGAGGATGCTAACACAAAGCCCTCAGAGGGAGCAGCCAAGTCCCTGGATGCTCTGTGTGGATAATATCCGGGTGGGTACCATGAAACACAACTGGCAGTCAGGAGAATGGCAGCCACAGGTGTAGCTCAGGACAGCTTCAGAGAGGCCTACATGACGTACATGGTGTAGCCAGGGACCAGGGGTGAGAGACCACCTGAACAGTGGAAAGGTTTATCAGGGAGCTGGCAGGCGCCCTCATGTATCTGGCTCTTGAGCCTGAGTGGTAAGGAGTCCACATCCCAGTCTGAGCTGACGTTGTGGGGTCCCCTCCGCTGGGGAAGCTGAAGTAGAGCCAGTCTAGCAGTCCAGGCCCTTCCTCCCAAGGCCACCAAGCACTCCAGTTCCAGAATGCCTCTGGCTCCTGAGCCTACTGCTTCTAGCAGGGGCTCCCTGAAGTCTAGCAAGCTGCTACAGCAGCACCTTCAATCTGGATCCAGGCATGACATCAGCCATGCCTGTAGCAGGCATGTGAAGCAGGGTGTGAAGGAAGAAGAGAAGATCATTATTCTGGGATTTATTAATTTAATAGAAAAATCAAAGAGGCTCTCCTCCCCGTATCCTTCTGAAGCAGATGAAAAGCAAAATCTGACCCCACCAAAACAAAAAAAAAAAAAAAAAAAAAAACCAAAAACCCAAAACCACCCACACCCACATTCCTAGTGTAGTTTGTATTGCTCTCAGAAGCGCTGCATTCGAGATAAGCAGGGGGAGGCCTAGGAGAGCAAAGCCTGCAGCCTGGACTCCTCGGGCCATTCACAAACTGATTTCAAGACTCAGGGCTTCTGAGGAAGTCAGAGGCATTAGCGAAATGGTGAAGGCTCTGAGCTCTCTTTATCCGGGGCCAGGTGCATGCATGGCAGGCCCACTGGCCTGTTTCCTTCGCATTTGTGAGGTGACGGTGGGTGGGGGAAGGACAGAGACCTCAAGCAGGCAGAAAGGCAGAAGAAAAACCCCATCAGAAAGGAAGCTGGCCCTCGGGAGTGCCCAAGATGGCTCAAGAGCTGGCAGAGGCCAGGGCAGGCAAGCCTTCACCTGGAGGGAGAGAATCAGTGTCTCGGTTTGCTTGACTTAACCCTTCACCCTTACAAGCAGTCGTGATTGTTGCCGCCGCCCAGGAGCGAGAGGAGCAGTCCACAGCCACTCTGTTGTGCACGGACCGCAGAGGCCAGGAGCATCTTCTGTAAAGTGGACAAGCTGCCATGTGGAGTCACGCCCGGACTACTCTTAGGCTTCTCCGGGTCTCCTTCTTCCGGTGTGCCCTATTAATCTTCTCTGCCTATACTCTGAACTCTGGCTGCAGTATGCCAGAAAGAATACCCGGTTTTTCCTTGTTAGAAAACGTGAAATGACTGTAAAAGGGACTATGGAAGGTTCCAGACAGAAGGTAAAAGTATATGACGCTGTTTCCCGAGGACCTAGATCTCCTAGAAACCAGGCAGTCCTTCCTGTGCTGAGTAAGGAGGAAAATGTGCCTCCAGGGCCAGCCCACGGGACCCTGGCAAGGCACCAAGTGCAGGCAGAGGACCCCTGTTGTCTGTCAGGACAGCTTCTGTCACTGAAGTGGTATTGGGCAACGGTGGATGTGGATGGCAGCCATGACACTTTCCTGGGCAGAGGCAAGAGAGGATGAGGGCAGGGAGAAGCTGCGAGCCAGCCACAGACCAATTTGTAAAAATAAATTCTAATTCTAACAAGCACTAAAGGTGTCTGACTGAGAACAAGGAGGCCTGATGGTGACACCACCTCCTGAAGAGTGTCCCAGGGGAGTCCCACAGGCTGGAGCCCCCAGACACCACAACTTGGAGGTGTGGGGCCCAGGTGCAGGACTTCAGCCTGCTGGCTACAGAGGACGAGGAGGCCATGGACCTGTATGGAGGTGCTGTATGAACTCAGGGATTCCACGTTCTGCAGAGTTCTTGGGCGTTCACTTTAAAAAGAGACATAAGGTGCTTAAAACACAGCCTCCAGAGAGGCAGTGCCACCGGTGCTGCAGAGGATAGAGGGGTGGTCTTCAGCCCCTGGGCAGAGCAGGGACAAAGGGGCCAGATCTACATTCAGTGTGTGCTTATCTCTAAGACTTCCTCCCCCTGGCTAGAAGCAGAGGTGCTAAGCAGGGCAGGACAAATGAGCTCTGTAGGAGAAGGATCCAGCTGACCTGTCCCCCAATGAGGACATCGGCACCCATGAAGAGCCAGTGTTCTGGGGTGCAGGGCACAAGGTGGGGGCCAGGTTAAGTTCCCAAAATAACAAATAAGAAACAAAAGCCTCATTCTAAGTTTAAGAAGGGAGAGGAGCCAAGGCCGCCTCTTGGAGGCAAAGTTCTGGGGGAGCCCCACAGCCCCACCACCTTCCCCAAGCCCGCCTCTGTCCCCGCAGAGGGCCGATGGGACCCTGGGTGCTGGCTGACCATCTTCACCTGGCAGCTGAGTTCTTTGCTCTTGGCTCAAGTTTTGTTAATATTAGTCACCAGTTAATAAGAAAAATAGTCTCTAAGTGTCTCTTTCCCTCGTTCTCGTGTGTTCTGTTTTTAATTGAGTTAATTGGATACCGCGTCAGGTTATAGGTGTTCAATCACAGCATTAATTATTCCTTTTTCTTAAGCTCTTGGTTGCCATAGCTGGAGCCTTTTTCTATCTCGGTCACTCCTATCAGTCTTCGGACTCCGAAGGAAGCTTTAAAGACAAAAGAGAGAAGGTTAGAGGCTAGCCTCACGAGGGCACCCTTGCTGGTCTTGCCATTCCCTACCCCTAATCCCTTCCTCTCAGTGTGCAGCCGCTCTAGAACAGGAAGCCACACTAGAGTGAAAGGAGGGCACAACTTCCACAGCCCAACATGCAGGAGCCTCCCAGGGTCACCATGATAAGCCATCAGCCTTGGGTGGTGGCCCAGTGACCCCAGCATGGGAGCTGGCATATCTGTGCTTTTTTTACCTGCTCCTACAAACCCCAAGAATGTCAGGATGAGGAGAGGGGATCCACTGGCAAAGACACCCAGGACAAAGCTGAAGAGGGGGGACAGTAGGATGGTGGCCCAGCACAGGAAGTTCAGGAGGGTCCACGGCCTTCGGGCAGGCTTGATCGGCTCTCCTGGGAATGTGCCCTTCTGCTTGTACATCTCTTGCAGGGCGTCCTGAGAGTGAAGGGGAGAACAGGAAGTTGAGACTGTCAAATGGGACCCTGATGCAGGAGAAAACTCAGCAATAAAAGCCACTGGCCAAGACACAAGCCACAGAAAAAAGCAGACAACACCCTGGTACAGGAGGAGCAGGAACCACTTCCGTGGAGGACCTTCAGTCACTAGTACAGAGGACATGTCATCTGGACCCAGGAGTTAACTAGGAAATGGCCAGTCAAAGCTGTATGTGGTCACAAGTGGCAGATGGCTGGCTGGTTCAGACCCTAACAGTTACCAAAGCCCAGGCAAGGGATAGCAGCATGGACCTGCTTGGGCGCTGGGCCTGGCTACAATCCACACTCACCTCTCATACCATGGCATCCAGGGACCAAACTTAGAACATTATCTTGCAGAGCAAGCACTTTTACCCACTGAGCCACCTTGATGGCTCCACTCCATTCCTATATTGTTTTCCTCCTCCTCCTCCTCCTCTTCATCCTCTTCTTTCTTTGTCTTCTTCCTTCTTTGACATGGGATCCTTGGTAACCTAGGTTGGTGTGGAACTCTCCACATAGTTGATACTGGCCTTTAACTTCTGCTCCTCCTAAGAGGCTAGGATGTTGGAATAGCAGGCATTAACTGCCACCAGCTACATTTTCTTCTTGAGAGGTGTACTATCCTCTCTCTGTGTGTCTATTTATCTATCTACCATCTATCTAAAACTTAACTGACATATTTATGGGTCATGGTCTCTATCACACACACACACACACACACACACGCACACTGTGTAAGGAGCAGAGGCTGGCTGGGCACTACCTCACATCTGCCATCTATTTGTGTTGAGAATGACTAGAGTCCTCTCCACTGAAGATTCTGAAATTCAGAGTTGATATCAGCCACGCCAGTAATCCTAACACCGCTTTGGGACGTCCCACGCCATCAGCCACACCAGTAATCCTAACACCACCCAGCTCTGGGATGTCCCACCCTTCCAGTCTTCTACCCTCTACTATGGTGAGACTGGCTTCCATTGGTAAGGGAGCATGGGCTGTGTCCTCCCGTTCCTGGCTGGCTTTACTTCTGCACTATTCCTTCATTTCCATCCACGTTGTTCCAAATGGCAAATTTGATATGTAGTGGCTGAACAGTGTTACTCTGTGTTTTACACATCATATTTTCTTTTCTTTTTATTTCTCTTTGTTTTGTTGTTGTTATTGGTTTTTCTTTCTTGAGGCAGGGTTTCTCTGTGTAGCCCTGGTTGTCACTGAACTTGCTCTGTAGACCAGGCTGGCCTTGAACTCGGAGATCTGCTTGCCCCTGCCTTCTGAGCCCTGGGATTAAAGGCATGCGCCACCACCATCCAGCTTCATCATAGTATCTTTATTCGTCCATCAGAGGGTGGGAGGACTTCTACCATGAACAGCACTGAGGTAATGCTGACTGCAGGTGCCTTTGGCTCTCAAATTAAGTTTTCTCCTGTTAAGTCCCCACAGGAGGACTTCAGGGTCCCATGGTGGTTTAGCTCCTAGAGTTTCTTTGATTTTGTTTGGATTTCTCTTTCAGCGAGTTCATTTTGGGTATGTGGAAATACCTTTTGGACACTGGTTCTGTACCCTGAAACTTTAGGGAATTTTCCAGTTCTAACATTTTGGCAGTTCTGACTTTTGTGAAATGGAAAGTTGTGCTGTCTAAGGACAGGGTGGTTGGATTAACCTCCTTTCCAATCTGGACTTCCTTCACCTCCTTCTCTTCCTAAGCGCTCTGTGAAGTGCTATGCTGGATAAGGATGCCTCGACAGACAGATGTGCTGAACCCCAGGACTCTTCCATCAGGATGATGAGTCTGTGGCACATGGTCTGAGCTGTGTGAGCCAAGAACCTTTTACACCTTCTTTGGTGGTAAAGGAGATGGGCATACGTTATCCAGGTTTCCAAACAGGTGCACATGAAGCCAGTAAAACCAACCTCATATGATTTTGATTCCATTTGTTGGTTGTTGTCTTGTTTTATTTTTGTTAATACTAATTCCATTGTTTTGTTTAATCAGTCTTGACCAGAGTTTTCTATTTTATTAATTTTTTTTGAGATATGGCCTCACCATGTCCAACCTTGGATTTCCTGAATGCTGGCCTTGAACCTCAAACCTGTCTCTTGAGTGCTGGGATCAAAAGTGTGCTCCTCTACACCTGGCTCCTTCTTTATTATTTATTTAACGTGCATTGGTGTCTGCCTGCATGTATGTCTGTGTGAAGGTGTTAGATCTTGGTGTTACAGACAGTTGTGAGCTGCCATGTGAGGGCTGGAGATTGAACCTGGGTCCTCTGAAAGAACAGCCAGTGCTCTTAACCTCTGAGCCATCTCTCCAGCCCCTTTGTTAATATTCTTGAGAAAAGCGTTTGGTATGCAGTGGGAACCTGATACACAGTAAGCGCTGTACACACAGGGCACAGCCCACAGCACCGCTCTGCTGGCAGACTGATTTTGTTCTCCACTTGCCCCAGGCCTTTCTGCTACTTCGTTCACTCTTCTGCAGGCCTTCTTGTCTCCACTCTCATCGTTACATGCTCATTCATTCTGTATCTGCTACTTCTCAAGTCCCTCTGAGGACTTTGATTGTCCTGCCAGGCATTGGCAAGACTTTGCTGCCATGGACATTTTGTCTTGTGGTAGCTTGCAGCTGGCCTTCACCTGGGTCCCACCTGTACAAACCCTTAACAGTCTGCCTCTGGGGTCACCTCCTCCAGTTGTGCACGGGTCTCCCTCAGCAACCTGAGGGAGCTCTCTGTATACCACTTTCTATTCCAGTGTCTCCATCTTCTGGAACTGAGGGTGGGCCAAGACAGTCACCAGGGCAACGCTCTCCAGCACGAAGGAGGAGGTGGGTGGGAACAAGTTCAACCTTCCCTAGGCTGACTTCCTAGAAGGTGGGGCCTCTAGGGTGGTAGCATGGGTCACATGTAGTCACTATATAGTAAAACGGGTCACACGCAGTCACTATATAGTGACATGGGTCACATGCTACCACCTTATAGTCCTGTGCAAAGTCACATCTCACCATCTGATCCCATGGGGCTACAAATCAGGACTTTGGGGGAAACCAGCAAACACTAGCAGAGTGTGTATCATCAGCATAGGTCCCTTCCCCTCAGGTCTCGCTCTCTTTCCTCCTTGGTCTCTGGAGCTCCCTTACTTCCTTGGGAGCTGCTCGAAGCACTGGTAAGGACTGTTTCCCGCAGGCTTTTCTGATCATCTGATTTCCAACAATGCTGAAATGGACACCTATTGTCCCAGGAAGTGAGCATAGGATAAGCATGCACTTTGGAGTGAACTGGACACATGGGCCCCATGACATAAATATGCTGTTGTAAATCTGGGGGCTGTCCACAACATAGGCATGTTATTGTAAATCTGGGTGATGTCTGTTACACTCATAAAATTTCTTAAAAAGGCCATCAACACAGTCTCACACGTGGGACACTGTGCAAGGCTTCTGCACAGCTGTGCACACCAAGCACCGGGCCAGATGTCACTCTTCATTGGAGGGCTAACTTCTCAAATTTTAAGAAAAAGAGAAGAATCTAATGCAGGTGAGAACCACCAGTGCTTGTTGATGTGGGATTCATCTCTGCACGCTGTGAATATTCTTTATTGACGTTGGTTAATAAAGAAGCTGCTTGTGGCCAATGGCTTAACAGAATAAAGCTAGGCAGGAAAACTAAACTGAATGCCGGGAGAAAGAAGGTGGAGTCAGGAGAAGTCATGTAGCCACTGTGTAAGCCACAGTCACATGGCAATACACAGATTAATAGAAATAGGTTAATTTAAGATATAAAAGTTAGCCAGAAATACGCTTAAGGTATTGGCCAAACAGTATTGCAATTAATACAGATTTCTGTGTGATTATTTTGGACATCTGGATGGCTGGGAAATGAACAAGTTAGCCCCGCCCCCAACAGAGAAGCATGCAGCACCTGCCTATCCTCCTTACCACCCCGCCTGCTTTGGAGGTAGAAGATGGGCAAGCAGGAGCCTTTACCTTCTCCTGGTACAGCTTGTGAAGCCACTGGGCTGCGTCGTTCTCATCTGCAGGGATGTCTTCCAGGGGGAACCTCCTGTCGTGTCAAGAAGATTAAGAGCAACGTGAGAGAAGGGAAAACTGCTCGTGGTTGGGAGGGAGAGAGTGAAACCAGCAGGCAACAAAATAAGTCTTGGTGGTCAGCCGACACACTGAAACCTTCTGGGCTCCCACGAGGGCTAAAAGATGCCTCTATATCCGGGGACCCTTTGAGTTACCTGCCTGGCAGAGCATGCCTTGACTTCCCCATAGGGTGATTGCAGTGGCCTTGGTCTCTCCTAACACAGTCACTGTTGGAGATAATCAAGACAAGGTCTGGGGCCTTTGACCTTGACTGTCACCCTCACTGGGCTGAGGGAGACTGGGAGATGAAGAAAGCACACTCTGGGCAAGTCTATGAGACTGCTTCCAGAGAGGTCTCTGACCTGACCATTTGTTGAATCCATTGATGGATTTAATTTTGAATAACTTTTGGGAGGCCCTGTAACTGTGCAAGGCCCCTGGCCGGGGTGTGCCTCTAAAAGGTATATACTGGCCCCCTCCTGTCATTCTCTCTGCTTCCTGACCACCACGAGGTAAGCAGCTTGGTTCTGCACAAATGCTCCCCACCCCTGATATCTGAATCTCTCCTTAACCCCCACAATAATGGAGCCAGATGACCATGGTCTGAACTCTGACACTAGGAACTAAAACACATCCCTCAGGTTGTTTATGCATAAGTGACCAACACAAGGTGAGTTGAAGTGCCCAGAAAGGAGCGAGGGAGGGGAGAGAGAGGAAGGAACAGAGGAGGAGGGAGGGAGAGAGACAAGCAGAAGTCATCCAGGGAGAGATAGACAGGGACAAACACTGCTCCTGGGTTAAAGACTCTATAAGGCCAATTAAACAAACTTCAAGACTATGGAGAGTTCAATGTTGCAGACTACAGCCAAATTATCTTCAATTATTTTCAGTCTCTTACAAAGCCATCCACTACCTACCCTGTGTCTGATCTAGCATCCTGGAGACTATCAAAAGCTAACAATATATTCTAAGCAGATGACCAGCTCCTACAAACCCAAAGGCTAAGATGCCATGAGCTAGCCTCCGAGACCTGTAGTAGTCCCTTGCTCTACCTGTGGCTCCTATCATGCATGTGATAAATACTTCCTAACTTTCTCTGGTCTGTAACTAATAATAATATCACATAACTACTTCCACAGTGGGAAACAGCATTTGGAGGAGACTTCAATGTGTGGTTTGGGGCCATGGTCACTCATACCTGACTCTAAAGCAAACCGTCTCTTATTCCCTTTGAGATGAGGGCAGTTTCTGTGCCAATAATTGTTGAATTATCTCGGCTCGAGAAATAATCAGGCTAGCTAAAAAATAGAACAATTATATTTTTCTTTATTATAAGGGGCAAACTCACGAAACAGGAATGAGAAGTCTGAGCTCAGCTGTGTAGAGCAGGAACCACAGAGACAGAGAGCACACCAGGGCCGCATTTTCTCCAGGTACCCAGAAAGTCAGGCCCTAACTTGGTCCCACCTCTTAAAGATAATTGGCTGACAAAGATTCCCCATCAAATAACGTTTTGTTAGACACGTGGATCACTGCTTCAAGACAAAACTACATATCCCAGGAAAGAAAAGTATTCAACATTGGGAAATTTTAATCTCAGCTTACAATAAATGTTTCCATGTGGACCCTGAACTGTCTTAGCCCCTATTCTGGGAGTCTGTTGGTAAACAAACAGGTGGCTGCCTAGCAACTACAGGTGAAGCCTTTCCCAGTCACGTGGCTCAGCCCCTGCTGTGGAATCCAATCAGACTGTGAATAAAGAGAGAGTGTGAACTACACAGAGAAGTGTATGGAGACCTTTCCATCACTTTTCCACTGGAGACCCGGAAGAGATAGACATGCTGTGCCCATGCCCCCACAGCTCACAGGGCACGTCTGGGAGATGAAATTCTGCCACATATGGAAAGCACATATCCTCGCCTTCTAGAAGCATCTGATGGCAATGAGCATCATTGCTCCCAGAGGAGCATCTCAACTACTGTGCTTGACTTGAAATCACAGGCTGAGAGAGTGATGCTGAGCCACTTGTGGGGACAGTCAGCTAGGACTCTGTCACCTAAGAATAAGTGTTTGCGTCATAAGCTTCTTTAAAAAGTTAGGCCCGAGCTGGGCTCATGGTTTTAATTCCAGCACTCAGGAGCCTGGTCTGCACAGTGAGTTCCAGGGTAGCCAGGGCTACACAGAGAAACTCTGTCTCCAAAAACAAAAGGCAAGATCCAGAGCTGGGTGTGGTGGCCCATACCTTTAATCCTAGCACTTGGGAAGCAGAGACAGGTTCCTGGCCAGCCTGGTCTACATGTCAGGTTCTAGGCCAGCCAAGCCTACATAGTGAGACCCCATCTCAAAACATAACTATTATTGGAAGGAAGGAAGAGGAAAAAAGAAAGAAGGAAGGAGGAAGGAAAGAAAGGAAGAAAAGAAGGAAGGAAGGAAAGAAGGAAGGAAAGAAGGAAGGAGAAAAGGAAGGAAGGAAAGAAGGAAGGAAGGAAGGAAAGAAAGGAAGAAAAGAAGGAAGGAAGGAAGGAAACTAGACCCATTGGCATATTCTTGTAATGCCAGAACTTGGGACGTGGAGCAGGGGAATCAGGTGCACCAGGCCAGCCTCACAGGGAGGTCCTGCTTTCCACAGGGAACTGCAGTACTTCACAATGCCCAGGAGGTGGCAGAGAGCACACAGACTAGAGTGATCAGCGCCCTCCTCATGGAGACACATCCCATGTCCCCAGGTGACATGGGAACTCCTAGGCATTCTGCACCCTCTGCATGCTGTGTTTTCTGGTGTGCCACATGCTTCACACCCTAGAGTTCCCTTTGTTTCACTACTCTTGTACGCTAAGTCATTATGAAGTCACATAGGGACACTTAAACACTGTGAGTCTGTGCGGTCACCAAGAAGACTGCTGGAAGAATGGGGGGTATAGACACACGGTGGCTACACGAGACAGGTGCTTTGCATCCAGGGGGTCGAGAGAGGCCACAGTTTCATCTGTTTAATGTTTTAAGACTTCATTTGCTGGATGTAAAGGGAACTATGAGTAAGGGGGAAGGGCTGTGATGAGCATGGCTCTGGCTTGGGTGGCCCTCACAGTGGCCCGCGGTTCTTTCTTCCACAGAGAAAAGCCACATGAAATGCCCACAGCCTGAGACAGATCTGTGCATTTAAAGTAAGGCCCTCAGAGGCTGCGGCTGTGTAGGCTGTTAGGGACCTTTCCACCTCAGCACACACACCCAGCAGAGGACCACTGCAGGCTCAGAGCCACATCAGGGGGAGAGGCAAGAGCATTTGAGCAGACAAAATTTAAGCCTCTGCCTTCCAAGGGCTCCATCCACGTGTGGGGGAGGAACTGTCACAGTCAGTGGGTGTAGCTGGAGGGGGGGCACCTCCTACAGCAAGAAGGCTATAAGGCTTAGACCTCCTTCATGTCTCTCCCTGGTGTGTGTGTGTGTGTGTGTGTGTGTGTGTGTGTGTGTGTGTGAGACGCCACATACACATTCACACTACCATAAACATTATAAAAGAAGTAAAAATAAAAGCAAACGCTGACAAGACGCATGTAGATGAGGTCCCGCTGGCTTCCCTCTCTTGGCAGCTACAGCTTGAGCTCTAGTTACCCTGAATTTCCATGGAAGTACTCCACATCCCAAGGCTAACACGGGCATGCCAGCACAGAGAACAGAGGACCCTTGAGGGTACACACATGCAGGCTTGCCCTGTCACAGCTTCTAGAGTGCTATCACCCTCAAGGGAGGCTGAGGGAAGGCCCTTAGATGTGACTGCAGGGGCATTCTGGATGATGGGAAAGGCATATCTGTGCAAAGTCCATGGTCAAGGGCAGACCAGCCAAGGCCTCTGCGAGCTCTTGAGATGCTCACTGAAATATAGCGGGACACAGCTACAGAAATATCACAGAGGAAGTATCAGAGATGGAGGAGGCCTCCTAGTCATAGCTTGGTGTCCCTGTGGGGGCACTTCAGCTAGATGGTTGGCTGGGCAGCAAGAGGGGCTGGATGAGTGGGACCTGGAGCAGTTAAGCCAGGGACAGAAGTGTGACTGACCTCTGAGGGGCTCACTTCTGGACATGACCAGATTCTCAATCATTGTCATCTACCCTAGCACTATGGTTTTGGTCTCTGCTGTCTCTTGAAGACTATGAATTAGCAGCTTGGTCTCCAAGGAGGCCCTACTTTAAAAAAAAGTGGGGCCCAGTGGGAGGCCCTGGGTGATGGCCATCCCTGGAGGGGTCAGCACCTTGGTCCTTCCTCTTTTACCAACTGGTCGATGAGGCGATTGCTATAATCAGTAGTGTGTTGTGCTTCTGCCATTATGTGCTGACCCCACACTGGACCAAAGCAACAGACTCAACCACAGAATGAAACTAAGTTTCTTCTAAGTTGATTGTCTCAGGTGTTTGTTACAGTGATAGGAAGCTAACTAACACACCTGGCATTGGAAGCCACCTAAGGCCCAGGGTTAATCACCACAGTCCCTTGGGGTCAATAGTGGGCTGGACCCTTGCTGGAAGATGAACAACATGAAGGAGAGAATTAGGCTCACTTGCTGACTCCAATCCAGGGCAAGTTCCCAGGACAGGATACAGGGTCCTGAACCTCAGTTTAAAGACCAGGAGAAAAAAGCAACAAGCTCTTTGCTTACCTTCACAGCCTTATTTCTGGAAGCTCCCACACAGTGTAATTTGTAACCAACATGAGCTCAAGTCTGCTTAGAAAAACCAAGCGCAGGTGTCAAACTGAAGCGATTTTGGGTGGATTATTTCCTCAGGAGACACAGAGAAGAACATCACCTTGGCCATGGCCCCAGTCAACACTGAGACATGACTGCACCCACCCTGTCTAAGGCAGGCTGCCGTGTGTGAGGTCTCAGAGCAGGCAGTTACAATGGGTCCTGACAGTGTATGCGTCTAAGAAGATGACCAAGCAGTTCCTGAAGGCGCCATCACCTGGGCTCTGAAGAGCAGGCAGGGCCTTCTCCAATCAGAACTCCCTGGAGATGCCCAAGCCACTATCTAGAAGTTATCAAGCCAGATCAGAGCCACCTGGTGACAGTCCCACTCTACCGGGGGCTGTGCAGGAGGTCCCATGTCACTGGCTGAAAGTGAGAGACCAGAGGTTAACATTAGTTCACTAGACTGTGTGACTGGGAGAGCAACTGACAGTGGCGGGATGTGGGACAGAGCTTTCCTCAGAAAGACATACACTGTGTCCACTGAGACAGAGAGACAAGAAACGACCCTCACACTGATCAGGGGAACACAGCTGGGGACACTAGGGGCTCTGGTGTTGCCTTCTATGTCCCACATCCTCAGGAGTACTGCGGAGGGTCAGCCTCGTCAGGGCGCTCACCTCACACACATGTCCGCCTCATATTTCTTCCCATAGAGGATTCCCAGCAGGGACGGGTTCTTACTACTCCTGAAGTTCAGGGTCACATCGTAGATGGCTCCAGCTGTGGGGAGGAGGCAGGACCAGTGAGAGATGGATGACGGGAGACACTCTACAGTAGTGACATCACCACCAAGCAGAAAAGTCACTTTTACACTGGGTCTGCCCCTCGACATGCAGAGCGGGGATGGAGGGGCGACGATCTTCACTCCCGGCTGGCTGCTGATGGTTCCTGCGTGCTCAGTGCTCTTCAGCCCTTTCTGTGGCTTCCCTAACTCCTCCCAGGTGAAGCAGACATCTCTGATCTGACTTCTTCTTTCCATGGCTTGCAGTATTTACTGTGTTACTCTGACAGTTTTCGGCTAAGCAGTATTTTATCATCCGCAAAGAGCTGCGAGATCTGAAAACACGTCAATCCTACTTCCTCCTCCTCCCCCAGGCTTTGAGTGGATCTTACACTTTATAGTTTGTATACTTTTTAAAGCTTTTCTTTTCTTCTCTTTTTAAAACACAGGCTTACGTAGCCCAGGCTGGCCTCAAACTATGTTGCTGAGGATGACCTCGAATTTATACAGTCAAAAGTGATCTTCCAACCCTGATTTCATCTCCTGAGTACAGGCCTGTGCCACAATATCTGGGTTTATGGGGTTCAAGGACATAGGACCTCATGTATTCTAGGTAAGTCTTCTACCAACTAAGCAATATCCCCGGCTCCATTTAACTTCTTGCTGCATAACAGTAGCCTAAAAGGTAGTGGCAGACTCCAGTTTCTCACCATGGGTCCCGGTCTCCTACCTGTCCCCCGGAGGCACTGGACCGCAGTGGTAAAACCCTTGGTCCGGGGCAGTAGATGGTACTTGAGTGGCGGCAGCCCCTTGGAGGTAGCCACCTCCATGCTGATGCGGTGCTTGGTCTCTGTGAAGCGTGTTCCTTCGCAGTAGAGGAGAAACTAGGTACAGAATGAACGTAGGGTAGGGAGAGGCAAGAGGGTTATTCCAGGCCAGCAGGGAAGGAACCAGAGCCCTGCCAGGCAAGGCCCCTAACATTCTGGGTCTCACATGCTACAGCAGCATAGCACAGGCTGCTGGGTGCACAGAGAACTGAAGCACAGAATCATCCAGCGACAAGCATGTGGTGTCATTGAAGTGGCATTTTATTCTAGGGCTGCAATCTGCACTCCCATCACAGAAATGAATGCATACAGAACGGTTTTCCTGAAAGAACTATCCAGAAGAGAAACCTGAAGGTGTCCCTGAGCAGCAGCCTTTATCAGAAGACAGAGCATCTGTTGTCCCTGAGAAATGTGAACTAAGAGGCCAGGTTTCCAAGAGTAGACAAGAAAGATGAGATTTGTTATGGCTCTCCCATCTCCCTGCACCCTAGGAGGGTGTGTGCCAAAGTTAGGCTTGTAGCAGAGGGAACAGATGAAAACTATGTCCCAGGAAAGGCGCCAAGTCTGAAAGGTCAGGTGAGATGGTCTTGTGGGCACATGTATGCACAGATGTGTGTGTTAGACTGGCTGGCCAGTGAGTCTCAGGGGGTCGCTTGTCTCCACCTCCCCAGCGCTAGGATTATTCGCATGCGCACCACAGCCTGGCTTTTCTGTTTGGGTGCTGGGGCTCAGACTCAGTTTCTTATTCTTGTGTGGCAAACACTTTACCAAATGAGCCATTTCCCCAGCCAGAGATCCTACAATGTATGACTTGGGCCATGGCATACACACAGGAGGATTGAGTTGTCCCCCTTGGCCACCGCCATCTCATGGTACATGCAGCACACTCACCCACATGCATTCTGGGTAGTCCGCCAAGCGCTTCAGCCCCTCTTTGACAATGTCCCGGTCTTCCTCCCACTTCCTTTTGCAGAATACGATCTCCAGAAAGTACCACGTCCAGCCGATGAGAGGCACGCACAGCAGCTCCCTCTTAGCCAGCACCTTGGAGCTCTGCAGGGAGCAGGGAGGCCAGTGGCATCTGTCAGAAGTGGGGAGGGCCTGGCCGGAAGCCCTGACAGCCACCCCAGGGGCTCAGGCTTTGCTTTTCCTGGTTCAAAGCATTTGCCATAAACAGGACCCTGGCTTATGGATCAGCACACCTCAAGCACACTCGGGGAGGGGACCTCAGAAACTGTTCAAGAGTCAAATTTTTGGAGGAGGGCAGGTGCACCAGGATATGGAGGATAACACCTCAGTTCCAGGTCCCTTTTTTGACCTCCATTTTCCTGCCATGAGTTAGGGGCTTTGGCTGCACTGAAATCCCTGGCCCTCTTCATGTCGTTTAAATTCATCGGAGGCCACTCAGCTAACTGCAATTATTCATTTGGTCTTGAGTGGAATCCTCTGGAAGGTGAAAGGTGCTGACAAGAAATGAAGTCACAGCTAGTCCCAAGAATAGGCAGGAAACTGAAGAGGGTGCCACACGGGGAAGACACACACCCCATCTCACTATTAAGGGGGCAAGTCAAGAAACCTCCAAGGGACAAGCCTCTACAGTCCTGGGAGCTTCAGATCCCAGAGGTTTCCTCCTAGGGCCCTATTTCACCATTACTCATCCAGACCCTCCCCGAACCCCCTGGGAGTCACCCCCAGACCCCATCGCTCACCCCCAGCCCTTCCCTGACACCATTGCTCACCCCCAGCCCCTCCCTGACCCCATTGCTCACCCCCAGCACACCAAACCGCTCGCACATGGTCCACCCACAGAGGAAGTCGATCTCGAAGTTGTGGTTAAGGATGACAACTGCGTGCTCCTTCCCAAAGCGGTCCACGGTGGCCTGGTCGGTGAAGAGAGTGCACTCCGTGCAGGACCACCACTCCAGGAGCATGACCAGCTCTGCGGGAGGGCGGGGTCAGCACTGCGAGATGCCTGCCCAGCGCCCCCCTCTTAGGTCTCCGCAGGCTCTGGGAGTGCAGTCTGAGGGCCACTTCCATTTTCATCTGCAGGGGAGCTTCCTCCTAGAGCTGAGCTCCCAGGGCTCCTGCTTCTAAGCTTCCCCAAATCACAGCTGTGTAGTCTAACGGGAGCTGGGCGGTGGCACACAGAGGAAGCAGGGCCTGGCAGACCTAAACGGACCCCACTGCCTCAGTGCGCAGCCACCGTGGCACTAGTTTGCTCATGCGGAAGGAGGGGGGCTGTGTCCTCACTGACAGGCAAGGAGAACACCTGCAGGGCTGTGGAATTAGCAGTTGGAAAGTGATGATAAGGTGGACATGTTGACTCTTTTGCCTACAACTTTCTCTGGTGTAAGCTGTGGTTCATACACAGTTTTGCTCACCCCAGGCCTAAGGAAAAGCTCAGATGAGATCTACTGCTGCCCAGGAGGCTGTAGGACCCCCCAAAGGCACGGAACGGTGCGTGGCCAGGAGTGTGGAGTGTACTCAGTAGCTGACCCAGCATCTCCACCACAACACAGAACTGAGCCTCCTCTGCCTGCAACTCATAGGCCAGTGGCAGATTCAGGATGGACCAGGATCGTAGTATCGCCTGTCCCCTCTGGAAGATTTAAGGGAAACACATGTTCACTTTCATAAGAAGGTCAGGGCCAGACAGTTCCATGTTAAGAACTTTGCATGTGTTTGTTCAGGAAAGAATCTGGACATAAATGAGTTCTGGTGGGAAGTACAAGATGGCAGGCAGGCGTCCCAAGTGCACCCCATGGTCTCCAGTGGGAATCACACCATGGAGACCAGGCATCTGAGGAGCATGGACCAGGATAAAACTGCCACCCGAAGGATGGTCACAGGAAGATCCATACTTCTGACTCTGGCCACTGCTCTGAGAGAATCCCAAAATCCTCTGCAAAGAACTGTCTGTTGGGGATGGAGCCAGCGAACACTGCCTGCCTCAAACATGGAATCCACAAGCCGGGTGAGGCCTCGGGGGCATGGGAACTCTCATCCAGAGGGATGCCAAATGGCCTAGGTGCTTTAGAACACGGCAGAGGTAGGGTCCTTAATGTTTTCCAAACACATCAGCACATGGCCAGATGGGCATCCCATGCGTGTGCCTGAGAGCCACGCGTGTCCACACAAGACACACAGTGGTGGCTCTGCCACTAGAGAGTGGTGACAGTCATCACCCTGCAGCCCAGCACAGGGTACCACCCAGTCACAACACAGATTGAAGCTCTGAGCACCAGCACCCAGAGAGTCCCCAAGGACGTGCTCTTCAGTCACCAGGTCAGGGCCCTGAGAACTGGCTTCTCTGCCCTTCCCAGGGGCTGCAGTCGGGGAGTCTCAGCGGGACACGTGCTGTTCTGGCTTCAGAGTGCTACTAGATGCGGGAGGCTATGACTTAGTGTTTCTCTGTAAACATTTGTGTGGCCTTGTCACCCGGTCACACAAGCACAACAGCATTATGTGTGGATGTGGGATTCCTAGTTCACCCTTTGTGAAACAGCTGTCCCCTTTTGAGTCAAACTGAGGAGGGGACTCGGGCAGAATGTTGTCACTGATGGGGAGGGCATAAAGGTGCAGAGCCTGAAGACACACTTCCCTGTGAGATGGCACATGCCCTCTGCTGTGACAGCCAGGCATAAACAGCAGCATACTGAATACTTATTTGTGTATCTGATTTTTTTAAACTTAGAAATGCAGTTGGAGGGCTGGAGAGATGGCTCAGTGGTTAAGAGCATGGACTGCTCTTCCGGAGGTCCTGAGTTCAATTCCCAGCAACCACATGGTGGCTCACAGCCATCTGTAATGAGATCTGGTGCCCTCTTCTGGCTTTCAGGCATACATGGAGGCCGAACACTGTGCACATAATAAATAAATAAATCTTTTAAAAAAGAATATGGTGGTGATCGACTTTTTTTAAAAAAAAAGAAAAGAAATGCAATTGGAAGAAGGTTCTCTGGTACAGAAAGACCACTCATTTTCTCAGTGTCCGCGTGGACCCCCTGTGGAGAGATATGGTCAGTACTAGCCTCAACAAGACAACCTGGTGAGCTTTGGGTCCATATGACAAGACAAGACGAAGATGCCGTGGGGAGTGCACATCTACAGAACTCTCAAAGCTGTATTCTTACTCTGCAGAGCAACTGAGTCAACCTGGCTTCCTGTAAACTGCAGGTAGTCACACCCAGGTCAGTGCCGCTCCCAGTGCACAGGCTGTGAGTAAGTGGCTGTCTCTCCAGGTTTCTCACAGAAATGCGCTCTCATGCACTAGTGCATCTGACAGACAGTGTGTGGCAACATGCACACACTCGTGACTAAGGGCACTCTTGCTTTTTCCCGTGCACTGTGATGTGAGCAGGCAGAGGGCCATGCGACACTGTGCTGGAGTGGAGGCTGGCTCTCAGCTCACTGAAACTACTCTCCTTGTTTTTGCTGGTTTGCAAGCACACAGAGGGTTGTGACGTACCCTGTGAAAGTCTAGTGACACAGCCCACTATGGAAATACCATGCACTTGGGAAGTCACATGGCCTGCTATGGAAATATCGTGTGGTTGAGACTAGTAAGGCTACTCTGGACAGCTGTTCACAGGGCTCCTGGGAGGGTGTGACCTCAGGGAGGATTGAACTTCACCTAGCTCTATTCTGGGATGGAGAGTCAGGTGTGGCCCTGTCCTTACAGCCCCTTGAGAACCCTGGGAGGAGACACTTCCCTTTCCCACTGGAGAAGAACCTTTGCACAATGCCTGTGGGCGGAGACACTTACGGCTCCAGAGCGAGTAGGCCAGGCGGCAGTTGATGCGGCGGTATAGCTGCTTGCTGATGGGCCAGAGGGCCAGTGTGCACAGCTGGGTGAAGTTGATAACCAACCCACTCACTACAAAGACGAAACCAATGAGCAGGTGCACCACGAACTGGGTCTTCAGGTAGGCAAGCAGGCCCATGGTCGCTGCTCAGGGGCGGGCGCACGGTCCTTCACTGAGAACAGCCGTCCTGCAAGCACAGGGCGCAATCAACGGTCATTGGATGCAGGGACTCGGCATAGGCTGTGGCCTGGGAAGCACAGTCCTCATTCAGGGCCCTGGGGAGGAGCTGCCCTGTGCCTGGCTCAGGGAGAGGCCCCTCTGGAGAGCTGAGGAACTACATTGTCTATGTGCATCTCACACATCATACTCTACCACCACACACACGCGCACGATGGCTCTCTGAGGCTGGACTGTTAGCAGGATGGCCAGCCACCAGGCCCTAAGGACATGTACACAGCAGGTCTCGCTCTTGTGATAGAAACTGGACCTCGTGCTGTGTCGGGAGCCTCAGCTCCGGCCAGATTTCCAGGTGACCAAAGCCTGTGGCAGCTTAACTGTGACTGTAAGAACATCCCAAACCACTTGGCTAAGTCACCTGGTTCTGGAGAAATTAGTTAAACCAGAAGTAGAAGATGAATGCATTGCCTGAAAGGGCAAAACCAGAACAGGGATAACAAGAACAACTCTCAGACACGCTGTGCTCCAGGGCCCGGTACAAACACTTCTCATCACAACTTGTCAATGGTCATGAAACCCCGGAGCGGATGTTCTTAGGACTGTGTGGAAGAGGTGAGTGACCAGCAGCAGGAATACTGAATGGTCTGTTCAGGGTCACTCGCAGAGCAGCAGGAAGAGATTTTATTGTGGACTTTGAGTCTTAAATCTAAGCTCACATCCCAAGAGCAGTTTCCTCACAGGCAGGGCCTCGGGCCATGTGCAACACGACAGCTCCCTCCACACAGTACAGGATGGATCTGCACAGCCCTCAAGATACAAGGGGTCAGAGTCTCCACAGTCATCCCCTGGCACTAGCCTCGTTGTGACAGCTCTGAGCCAGCAGTCCCAGGAAAGGGACAGCCCTCACCATCCCATGCTCATGTCATGTCTCGCCCATTGGTTTTGTGGCTTTCCAAGGAGATGCGCAGGCCTGTGTCACACCTCCAACCCCACAGTCAGGGCCCCAGAAACAGACCATGATTTTTCATAATGAACTTCAGCGAGGTCTTACACACAGTCACAACACACTCAATTTTGGGTGGCAAGTTTCAATGGCCAGGCAGCCACCACCAATACACAGAATGAGTCATTTAGGCTGGTCCCACCCAGACCCTGGTTGTGCCCATCTCTACTCTGACAGCTTGACTTTTATTCTTTTCCAAGGTGTAGAATGGCAGAATTTGGGCCCAGATGGCTTGGCGTCACACTGCTGAGCCTGACCCTGCCAGCATGCAACAGCAATTCCAGCGTCCACTTCTAAGTCCTCAGCTGTCCTTTACCTGATGAACCCGAGGTGTCGAGCTGCAGGGGACCAGGGTGAAGGAGCCACACTTGTTTGTGCTCCAGGCTGTAAGGATGGTTTTCTTGGAGCAACCTGCTCTAGCAACCATCCCTGTGCTGCACAGTGGTGGCTTCCTGCTCTACTGTAGGAGTCTAGAGTCTAGAAGCAGAGAGCTTGTGCAGGATCCCAAGTGAGCCCACACCCCTCCATACCCATCCCTGTAGTGCACTGCCACCTACCACATTCACTTCGGATCTCTGGGGTTTCATGGTCAAGGTCCCTGGTCTAATCAGACCTGGCAGGGGCAGATGGACATAGCCAAATGCTAGCTTGGAGATCAGTTCAGGTCCAGAGACCACTACTCTATGTCTTAACCTGACATCTGCCTACCTGCTGGGTTACCCACACAGGACTATCTACCACAGTATCCCACAGGCCGCATGTGCTTGCTGCAGACCACTGACCTCAATTGTCACTCTCTACTCCCTAAACACTCCCAAAGACAGACACAGGACCTGCTTTCTCAATGCTGGCCACACGTCATTCCCAGGACTGTTTCCTTACTGCTTTTTTGACTTCAGTGCTGTATACAAGAATGCCACTCAACCTTCACACCAGCTCCTGTCTGCTCTGTTCTTGGCTGCGAAGATTCTGGTCCATCAGAGCAGGTATGTGTGGGGAAGGGTCTGGACTCAGTGACCAGAGCGTTGTTGGCCCAGGTGCCTTCAAAACAAGTATTTATTATTTTAAGGCAGGGTCTCACTATGTAGCCCTGGTTAGCCTAGAACTCATAGAGATCCACCTGCCTTTGCCTCCAGTGTTGGGTACCGCCATGCCCAGCACAATGCAAGTTTTAAAAAGTTTTGTGTCCTCAGACTATTTCAAGTTGACACCTATATTTCAAACCCAAGTTTAAATATGCAGAGTGTATAGAATCTGGCATGCTATAAATTCCGACTTTTTAAGGTAAACTTTTAATCTAAACGCAACCATAGACAATGGCCAGCCTAGAGATTTGGCGTCTCCGTGGCTGTTTCACAGCCTCCCTATGCAGACACTTCCCTGCTTGCTTCCTGGCTGGGTATTTCCACTGCTTTGCTGCAGGGTTTTATCACCAAGTGGCACACCAAGAGTCTCTTTGGCTTGAAATTATGCTTGAGAGCTTTTTATTGATTACTGTGACCTACTATCCCAGCAAAACTACCGTACCACCCTCATTTGGATACTTCTGGCACACAGGCTCAGAGGTGAGGCATCTCAGAACTCCACACTTCAACTGTCCTAGGATCACCTACTTGTAAAGCTGCGATCCCAGCCCAAGCTTAAACCCTCGGAGAGCAGTGCAGGACATCCACCTGGACCTGGGGCACCTCACAGCTCTTCTCAGGCCTCTAACTTTGTTTTTCACTCTGATCCTGATCCTGAGATCTGAGGTCTACATAGCCATCTGAAGGGAATACTTCCTCACGGTCACCTTAGGTTCAACATTTTTGGCCAAGAAAACTCCACAGGACTGATAGGCAGTTCACTCACAGAGTGATGTGGGATTTCCCTCTGTATGCTCTGAATGTTTTATTACCACTGGTTAATAAAGAAGCTGCTTTGGGCCTATGGCAGTGCAGAATAGAGCAAGGTGGGAATTCCAAGCAGAGATAGAGGAGAAAAGAAGGTGGAGTCAGGGAGAAGCCATGTAGCTGCCAAAGGAGACAGATGCCCCAGAACCTTACCACCTCATGGTAAAATACACAATAGTAGGAATGGGTTAATTTAAGATGTAAGAGTTAGTTAATAAGAAGCCTGAGCTAATAGGCCAAGAAGTGTTGCAATTAATATAGTTTCTGTGTGATTATTTGGGTCTGGGCAGCTGGGAAACAAATGAGCAGCCTCTGCCTACAACAGCAGACAGTTAAGGCTCTCCCACCAGGGCAGCAATGCCACTAGATATCCTTGGCATAAGAGCACAGTGTCAGCTAATCCCCATAACCCCTACAGGGGCTGCCTGCGAGTGGGCTGACCCTGACCATGAGATATGTCATCTGTGAGTCTGCCCCATGATCCTGCAGTAGGATGGCACTGTCAGACTCACAACCTTTCTCCCATGTCCCTCTCGATTCCATGATTCCTGCCCTCGCATCTGGTACCTGTTACGATCTCTGGACACTGGTGTGACTTTGAAGATTGGATGTGACTAGAGGCTTGGATATGGTTTCCAGAGCTGGAGGACAATGTGGTCCCTATAGCTCAAGGGTGGTTTCCTGAGCTTTTCAATGACCCTCATTGATGATGGTCTAGTATGCTCCCAAAGACAGCCTGGCATTGGAATACCTTGTCCCTGAGGGCAACACAGTGGCTTCCAGGGTTTCATCAAGGCATTTGAACAGGCTCCGGATCTAGCACCTTCCTGGGTCAGAAGATGGTAGCAGGTAAGAGCAATCCAGCCTTGGTTTCCAAGGAACCAATGACTGCTTGCCATTTGGGGAGGAAGGAGCCCGTGGCTCAGCAGGCTGTGCTGATTACAGGGTTCACCGGCACCTTGTAGGGATCTTACTCAAACCCTTGCATCTATCACAGCTGGGAAGCAGAAACTACAGAGATGCTGTCCCCAAAAGGATGTCCCTGAACCAGACTCGCCAGTCACCGAGAAGTTAGTTAACTGCGACCTGAAGGAGCCCTTGATCTTTGCTGAGATATCTGGGGCTCAGGGCTCAGCAGGACACTGAACTAGCCCACTGCATACAAGGAGAGCCTTCCCTGATCATCTGCCCGATTGTCTCCTCACTAGAAATGAATTGAGTCATTCTCAGTGGTAAGCTTCCAGGACGTCGGAATGTGGCAGTACTGAGAGACAGGGGCTCACAAAGTGACAAAGGCTGTTGATTCTGAACTGATCGCCCATGTGCTCGGTGGAGAAGAATGAAGGCACCAGCTCTGTCAGCAACTGAACCAAACTTTGGGCCTTATCTCCAGAGTTCTGAGCCCTAAATCCCACGGCACAGCCCAAGGTCTGTACACTCATGCTTCTCACAAATACACAGGCTTCTTGGCTCCCTGACCTGAGATCTGGGAACCCTGCAGGTCCTTTCTCACAGTCAATTCTCATCTTCCCATTCGCTGGGAGCCTCTTCATCATCCTTGGTCCCTTAGCCCTGCTTCCCTAAGGACCACTTCCTAGAATGCCCTCTTATCTGTCAGAGCACTGTCTCTCCAGAGATACCAGACACACACTGCCTGGCTGAGGGGTAAAGGTCTTTCGGAGAGCGAGGCTGGCACTCAGCAGAAGGGTTGGCAGAGGAAAGACACTAAAATATGAAAAATGGGCTACTTGTGATGTTCCGGACAGGAAACTCAGTCACAAGATAAGACATTTGCACGTGAGTTCAGTGATCAAATTCCAGTTAACAGGACCGACACAGCTCTCACCTTTCCTCCCTCCCTCTTGTCCCATTCATTCACATTCATTTTCCATCACCACTGCCCATCCCCAAGCCGGTCCTATGTGCAACAGGATGGCGGACTGTGTGAATGGCTGGACCAAGGGCATTCCCTGTATACCTTCCCCGTCTTGTTTTGTATGGGATGAACTCAGTTGGTCCAGAATCCACAGATGATAGAGAATTACTAAGAGAAATGAGTAATGGGGATAAATAAATGTCCCCACAAATGGGGACATGCGGCAGCAGAGACAGGAG